TAAACTTTGGTTATGTAAGATGAGATCTGCCAAAAATGACTAAATTCCAGTGAATAGAGCCATAATTATGGTTAAAACAACAACCTCAGGTGGTCCTAGGCAAACTGTTACTTCAGGGCTCATACCACTAATTGAATTTCCATAGACGACAATGTTAACATATGACGAGATTGCTATATGAAAATGACGAAGAAAGTTGAAAATATGGCTCAAAAATGGGAAATCAACATGCCAGTAATCAACCATATGAAAAAAACTAACATGTTGGCCAGCTCAAACTCTTGCAAATCTCAGGTAAACAAGACACACCTACTGTATTTGGATTGCACCAAGAGAAATCACTGGAAAAACACCAAGATTAGAACATCCATTAACACACAGAATAAACCCACAGGTACACAGCCGCTAAGTAGTAAACAAAAGACCACATGTTGGTCTCACCTCTGACCCAGGTGATTACGCCCTCAAACAGGGAGCACCTGAGAAAAATAATATTTAAAAAATTTCATTGGTTCTTGCTGGGCATTTAAATTGAGGGCTACGAGCAGCCATTGGTTAATTAGTGGCATGAGACCTAGAAGGAGATGCGAACACCGGTGGTTGTTGCTGTGCTTGGTCTGGTGGGGGCGCTATATAGTCTGCCTGTGGCGGCGGCGCCATACCATATTCACCATATACAGGGGGCGGTGGACCAGCTGTCGAACTGCGGATAGAAAATTAAAAAAATAATATTCAGAAAAAGTTAAAAATACCTGTCGATATTCGCCGACGATCTGAATAAGAACGTTAATCGTAAAGCATAGTGTGATAACGTCTCATTTATAATCACCGTAGCTTTATTACAGTTTTAGAATTGTCGTTAGTATGACTGTGGTTAACGACCAAGATATTTTAGATTTGACATTTATGGCGCTAACTGATGTCCTTTAATGGGTACCGGGGCAATATTTGCCCTGTCATCGTCGTACGAACATTATGCTAGTGTGTTTTGTTTGAAGACGTATATCTCACTTTTAATGTATGTTATGTTCATTTCTTTAGGTTGCTTAATAAATTCACGAATCAATCTGTCAATTAGAGTTGACAGATATTTTAACAAGTTTGCCAATTTGTAGAATTCTCTTCTTTTTCTTCGTTTCAGAATTTCCAATTATTATATTAAATGACTCTGGAGTCTACTAATTTTACTTGTGATGTTTTATATTACTTAGTATTGTATATTGAATTTCCGTTAGGCGGCATGACGGATTGAACGTAAAACACAAGCAACAATGCGTGTTTACAGTTATGATAACAATATACATAATACAACATTAATGTGCAGTCTTCCATTTGTAATTATGTCATTTGGTTGGCGATTTATTACTATATATACTAAAAATAATATAATACTAACCCAGGTGGGTAAGCGGGATCGTTTTGCCATCCTCCTGTTGGTGGTGGAGGCCCACCATACGTCTGGGGTGGAGGCCCATAGGCGTTCATCTGCGACATATTTTGTGTAGTGCTCGACACGACCGTCGGTCCACCACCAGGTTGCTGTGTCTGGATAACCGTCACTCGAGAATTGGGTCTATTATTGCATAACATCACCGATCCTATTATTATCAGAGTAATGCCACCGATAAACAGACCGAGGCCGACGAAATATACCCACCACAGGACACTGGTCAGTATGATCGATACGACCACCATAACGATACCAGCAATAAGCATGCCCTGGCCCTGCTGGCGTCTTCGACTTCCATAGTCCATTTTGTCTGTGTGCTGAAAATAAAAAATACCGTTTATGAAACCACCTGCGTATTATCGGCGAGGGCATGAGTAACCAAAGCTCAGGACTTATACGACACAACAGGTTGTAGTGAAAAGTCTTAGCTTCACTCACCTCGAACAAGGATCCGAGACAAAACTTTTGTTAAGTTTTTATTTCCGTCTGAACTCTAGACCATGTAAACCCAGCGACGACTGTACACGCTAAAAATAGCAGCTACGTCGAATTAGCGAGACATGGTGAGTTCACTCTCTTTACATTGCCGTTGCTGTGGCGACAAGACACAAACACCTTGCGCACGTGATTGTTTACAACAAACATGTTGAACAAAAGACACTGGCCCTATTTTCGTCATCCGCGACCTTTGTGCTGTCACGTGGTTGAGTGGTTTACAACATGAGCATACATACAGAGGTTACAAAATTGAACTCGATTTCCCTTCAAAGTTGTGATCACAGCAAGGGCCCCGCCACTACGGAGAGGCGTGTTCCTCGCCACGGCACAGCTACTTTCCTAAAACAAACAGCTCAAAATGGCGTGTAATGAGCACGGCGTAATTCTTAACAACGTACAATCAAGGGAATAAACAACAACTGTTGATTCAGAGATTTCAATTCAATAATATCACTGAAATAATAAATCAATGCATAGCCGTGTCGTGCTTTGGCACGTTCCAAAACTCGGCGAGCGTTGAGATGCTGATTTGTTACTGACATCGAGTTACGAAAACATCGAGTTATAAAACGACCATGCCCATATTTAAGAAATCACGTCCACTTCTGTCAGACCACGCCCTAACTCGATGTTCAATTAACAAAACTTGGAGTGACGGGCAATTTATATTTTTGTTTTTGTTGCACGTCCACATTTGCTAACTCGATCCTCGAGTTACGGGCAACCTTAAATTTTTGTTTTGTTTAACGTTGTATATTTCCCATAGTTTGAAGTTCGTTAAACTGATAATTCAAATTCGAGTTTCTTAATTGTTATTCACGACTTACTTAATGTAGATGTTAAGTAAGATAATTAATAGGTCGTGATTGTTTGAAAGTCTTTAGATTAAGGTGGGCAGAAATTCGTCATGTTAAAGGAGCTATGGCTCATGAATCAATAGCCTCCATCAAGGAATTCCGCATGTATATGTATTCATTGATGACATTCTGATAACAGGAGAGATCGAAGCTGAACACTTGAACAACTTAGAGCCAGAATTGAATAAATTGTCTGAAGCTGGAATTCGTGCTCGAAAAGAGAAATGTGTTTTCCTAGCAAAAAAAGTAGAGTATCCCGGACATGGTATCGATACAGAGGATCTAAATATACTGGAAAGGAAGGCTAGCGCATTGATGGATGTCCCAGTTCCACGTAACATAAGTTAAATTCGTCATTTCGTATGCAACCTGTCAACCATGTTAGCGCCAATGCATATACTTCTGAACAAGAATACTAAATGGTACTGTAGAGTGAAGCAAGATAATTCATTCAACAAATCTAAGAGATTATTTAATTTCTTCGAAAGTGCTAGTTTACTAGAACCCAGACAAAGACCTGATACTTGCATGTAACACATCATCTTAAAGAGTAGTGCGAATCTCTCTCACGTAATGCCAGATGCTCAAAGAAACCGATTACCTTCACATCACGCATATTATCACCTGCTGAGAAGAATTATTCTCAACTAGAGAAAGAAGGACTAGCGGTCATATTTGGAGGTAAGAAGTTTCATTTTTACTTGTTCGGGAGATATTTTGAAATTCTTAATGAAACCATTACAAACAGTATAAACATTGACTTTGTTTGATGAAGCAAAATGCGTCCCAATAATGACATCAACGCAAGTCCAACGGTGGCATCTCACATTGGCCACATACAACTATATGTTTATTTTATGTATATGTAGACGCAATGAGCCGATTGCCACTGCAAGATCAACCATTTAACATTCCTATATCTACTGATACCGTGTTACTGATGGAGTTATTAGACCTGTAACAGCAGAGAATTACAAGCGATCGACAGACCGCGATCCAGTATTATCGCGAGTTCATAGATTCATTACTTAAATGAATAAATAAACTAATAAATATAGTGTATGAGAAATCCCTTGAGCCAGAACATTGCACCCAGGGATAGTTCGCATTCGTTCGAAATTTTTTATAGTGGACATATCTAAAGGATGAAATTGAGACTACTGTTTGCAAATGCAGTACTTGCCAAGTTAATGCGAAATTGTCTACACTTATACCAATGCATCTATGCGAATATCCATGGGACTGCCTACATATTGATTACGCATTCTTCATCAAATGTTCCTAATCATCACATTGCAAATAAAAAATGGATAGAACTATTTACGATGAAATCCATGACAGCTTAAGCTACAATATAGAAACTACATATGCATATATTGCCATCTACAGCCGT